CGAGGCGGCGGCTGTGGCCGAGGGCGTGCGCACCGAGGCGGAGGCCGCCCGCGCCATGAGCGAGCTGGCGGTGGCCGCTGCGTGGGCGGAGGCCGAGTCGGCCAAAATTCGTGTCGAGGCGGCGGCCGTGTCGCGGGACGCGGCCGCGGCGGAGGCGCGCGACGCGGCGGCCGCGAGTGACCTGGCGGCCAAGGCGGCGAAGGAGGCGGAGGCGCAGCGTGCCCACGCGGCCGCTGAGGCCGGGTTTGAGCTGCGGGTGCATCGGGCCGAGGCGCAGGCGGAGGCGCAGGCGCAGGCGGAGGCGCAGGCAGTCGCCCTCGCGGCGCAGCGGCACGAGTTTGCTCTCGATTTGGCCAGGCTCGAGGCGGAGCTGGTCGCCGTCGCGGCCGAGGCGCAAGCGCGCAGGCAGGGCGAGGAGCAGCTGGCGTTTGCGGTCGAGGTGCTGCGGAGCGAGCTCAGCTCCGAGTGCGAGGCTCGCGCCAGCGCAGAGGCCGCCGGCCAGGCAGCGTTGCGCGAGGCAGAGGCGCTGCACGGTCGGCTGGAGGCTGCTGCGCTCGAGGCGGCCGAGGCGGCGGCGGCGACCGACGCCGCCGTCGATAGCTTCGAGGCCAAGGCGGTCGACGATGCCGCGCCCGAGGCGGCCACGGAGGCGCTGTGGTCCGAACTCGAGTCCGAGACTGCCGCGCGCTGTGTGGCGGAGGCGGCGGCGGCGGCAGCGCGGGCCGAGGCGGCGGAGGCGGCGGAGGCGGTCAGGGTGGCGGCGGAGGCGGAGGCGGCGCTGTCGCAGGAGCTAGCGGAGGAGCGCGCTCGCGCCGCCGCGGCGGAGGAGCGGGCGGCCGCCGCGGCGGCCTCCACGGCCGCCGCGGCGGCCACTAGGCTGGCTGAGATGGAGTCGCAGCTGGAGGGCGCCATCGCGGAGGCAGCCTCCACGCGGGCGGACCTGTTCGTGGCCCAACAGCAGGCGGCGGCGGGCGGCGCGGCGGCGAGTGCGCAGCTCTCCTCCTACATCGCCTCTCCGAGCGACGACGGCCGCGCGCCCTCTGTGTCGAGCGCGAGGGTTGGCCGCGGCGCCGGCGCTGCCGTCGGGGCCGCCGCCGACCGGCCGGCGAGGTGCGAGCCGGTGGCGTGCTCACCTTGCGTGTGGTCGGGCCTCGGCGTGCGCGTGGAGCGGGTGTCCACCGCACCGGCCGCCTCGCTCACGCCCGCCGCGTCGGGCATCACGCCCCCGTTGGCCGAGCCGCTCAGCCGCACGCTCGAGGGGTCGCTCGGACCGCCGGCGGACATGGACATGTCTGGGAAGCTTCCGTGCCCGTCGCCGAGCCTGCGCGCCGCGGCGCAGCTGT